AAAAAAAAAAGCAGGGCAGGCTGCAAGGCCTGAGACAGGCCAGGGGTGGACTGGGCACCGGGGAACCACTGCCCCGAGGAGGGCAGGGCAGGGCTGGGCATACCTGTACAGTTTGGGGATGGCGTGGGCAGCCGTCTTCCGCACGTAGGGTGACATGTCCGAGGCAGCTTCCTTGATGGCCAGCATCATGATGGGCACTATGATGGGCACGCGGATGCTGGAGAGGACCCGGAGGGCACTGGCACGAATCAGCTGGTTGGGGTCCTGAGGGCACAGGTGGAGGCTGAGCCGTGAGAGACCACACCTGGGACACTGGCAACCCATGGAGGTGTCTCTCTCACACCCATGTTCCCCCCTCTCTCACTCCACCTTCCACTCTCTCTGAAAAGCAATGGAAAAGATCTCCTCTGGGGAGGAATTTTTTTTAAATGATGGTAATCTGTTAAAATTCTGGGATTGATTTTTAAACAGATGGTGTCAAAGCACTTATTTAAAAAAGCAGGCATGTGTATTTTCTTAAGAGTAAAATCCTATCACATTCACTACTAGAACCTATTTTTCCTTTAAAAAAACAAACCAAAAAAAACACATTTTATCTGGAAATGATTATGGATTTACAGGAAGTTACCCCAAATCCCCAGCTGGGGTACATATGGAGGCAATGAATCAATGTTTCTCTCTCTCCTCCCTTTCTCTCTAAAATCAATAAAAATATATATTTTTTTCTTTTTTTAATATAGCTTTATTGATTTCAGAGAGAGGAAAGGAGAGGGAGAGAGAGAGATAGAAACATCAATGATGAGTCATTGATCGGCTGCCTCCTGCATGCCCCTGACAGGGAATCGAACCCCGATCACCTGGATCCTAGGTCAGTGCTCAACCGCTGAGCCACGCCTGGCTAGGCAATAAAAAAATATTTAAAAAAATAAATGGTGTGGGGGGATCCTGCCTCCACTTCAGTATTAAGGACTTGACTCCTCCCATGTTCCCTCCCGTAGGTGATTTCAGTTCCCACCGGCGGCATTTCACCACAACAGGTGCGTCCCAGGTCTTTACCGGGGGCTGTTTTGCATGCACCGGGCATCCGAGACCAGGCCGAAAGGAACACGGAATGTGTCCCAGCTCGAGAGGAATAACTGGCTGAGCTGAACTTAGGGAAAATAGGCCACGTCTTCTGTGCTCCGCGCTCACCTTGGAACCCAAGCTCCTCCGAGTGCGAGGCAGCCCTCCCGCACGGCAGGGCCACCTTCGCTGTTTTTCTCAGTGGGGCCCTTTTGTTTTCAGTAAACCCTTCTGTCCTACTTACCCAGTGCCAGGTGGAAAGATTCCAGAGTCACTGTCCTCTACACACACCTAGACTAGGTGAGCCTGCCCAGGCCAAGGCTCTGACACCCAGGGGTGAGGAACCAGGTCAGCGGCTCCCCTCACAGAACTGCCTTAAGGAGCTTGACTTCTGTGTGTGGGACTGTGGGCCACAGTTCCTTTACACCAATGGGGGTGAGGGTCAGTGGGGTCCACTGTCAGAGGTCAAGGAGTTCATGTTTTTTTAAATATATTTTTATTGATTTCAGAGAGGAAGGGAGAGGGAGAGGGAGAGAAACATCAATGATGAGAGAGTCATTGATCAGCTGCCTCCCGCATGCCCCCTGCTGGGGATGGAGGCCACAGCCCGGGCATGTGCCCTGACCGGGAATCGAACTGGGATTTCCTGGTTCATAGGTGGACATTCGACCACTGAGCCACGCCAGCCGGGCAGAGGGTTCATATTCGAGGCAGCCATTAACACAGGCTTCTCAGAGGAGAAGACACACAGTCTCTGGGCACCCACTTCACCTTTCCTCCAACTCTGACCCGCCCAGCCTCAGGCAGGCAGGAAAGGGCCTCCAGAGCTCAGGCCCTTCCCTGGGCCCACTGCTCCGCTACAGCAGCCACGAGGCCCCGGCCCCAAGGAGGCACGCAGAGACCACTGACCTTGAGGCCACGCTGGAAGGTGGAGATGGACAGCAGGGCCAGGTCCTGCTGCTCCTCGGCGTAGCGCACCAGGTACACGTACACGAGCTTCTTTACCTGGGGGAGAGCAGGTTTCCCAGCAGGGACTGGCACCCCTACCCCGCGAGATATCATCACCCCAGCCGGCTGCAGTCCACGGGGACAAGTTCCTCCCGTGGGAAAGAGAATCCCTAGTGCACCCTGTCCTCTCTCGGGTCCACGTCTAGTTCAGGGACACGTGGACAGTGCCTCTTCCTGGACCAGGGACATTTCTGGGCAGGCCGGCCCCCCGGGGCGGGATGGTTCCCTTCCTCACCTCTGGCCAGCTTGAGTTTATTCCTGGTAAATGGAAGTGGGCACGAGAGACCCTCCCTGGGGAATGCTCACCTCTATGTTCTTACAGGCCACGTTTTTCACCACAGCGGGAAACAGGTCTGAGGCATTCTTTCCCCGGGCGATCATCTGAGTGGGTGAGGTCAAGGTCGGGCAGGGGGAGAGGGAGGAGGCCGGCACTTAATAGGGGACGGTCCACAAGGGGACAAGGAGGGCCTTGACCCCCAGGCCCCTTCCCCAAGGAAGGCCCCCTCCTCCCCCACCCCCTTACCGCCACAATCCTCTTCATGGCCTCCAGCTTGAGGGAATCCTTGTTGCTGTCCAGCATCTCCTTCAGGTCATCGTGCCTGGTGGGAGGAGACACAAGAGGTCAGCTGAGGGCACAGGGTGGGGCTGGGGCTGCCCATCAAGAGGATACAGGCAGAAAGAAGGGACATGGGCGGGGCAGGCTCAGGCAGGACCCCATCAGAGGGGAAGGGAGTGAGGTACAGATCGGGGGACTTGGGGTCGGGAGAAACACATAGGTCGGGCGGTGTTATGGTTTGAATTGTGTCCCCCTCAGAAGAGTTATGCTGAAGTCCTAATCCCTGTGCCCCGGATGATGACTGTATTTGAGCCCTAATCCCTGTGCCCCAGAAGGTGACTGTATTTGCAGTTGTAATTAGGTGGGGTGAGGTCACACTGGAGTAGGATGGGCCCCTAATCAGCTATGTCCAGTGTTCTTTTACGGGGCCCGTATCCAGCCTTCACACTCCAGGCTGCTGCATCTGCCGGCCGCTCCAGGTAGACGGCCCTGAGCTGATGCTCCCCATTCAGCGACTAGACCATGGGTGGGTTGGTGTTCCCTGGCCGGCCGGGGGCCCTTGGGCAGCGATCAGCCTGCCCAGCCATCCGCAGAGGTCCTGGGGCTGGTGCTCGAAGAAGAGAGCAGGGAACTGCGAACAAACCCATGGGGAGATTTGTCTACACACAGCTGATAGAGTTGTGGGACAACCGACGCGCTCATCTGTTGCCAAGACAACTCCAAAACGTGGTGAGCAGCTGTGTGTGGGGAACCTGCATGTTCTCTAATCCCCCAGACGACGCTCTGATAACCTGCAGCATTTGACCAGGCAGGAGAACCCAACCCAGGGAACTACTGGCAATGGCAGGAATTATAAAGCAGTGTGTGGCCCGGGCAGGTGTGGCTCAGTGGGTGAGCATCAACCAGGAGGTCGCGGTTCGACTCCCAGTCAGGGCACATGCCCAGGTTGCAGGCTCTTTGATTCCCCAGCAGGGGGCGAGCAGGAGGCAGCCGACCAATGACTCTCATCATTGATGTTTCTCTCTCTCTCCCTTCCTCTCTCTGAAATCAATAAAGGCATATTAAAAAAAAAAAAAAAAAAATTAAAGCAGTGTGTGCAGCCCTAGCCGGTGTTGCTCAGTGGTTACAGGGTCGCGGACTGAAGGGTCTTGGGTTTGATTCCGGCCAAGAAGAGCACATACCTTTGACCCCTGGCCCTGGTGGGGGCACGTGTGGGAGACAACCAATCTCTTTCACATCAGTGTCTGTCTCTCTCTCTCCTTCCCACTCTCTAAAAAGAAACGGAAAAAATACCCTCAGGTGAGGATTTAAAAAAAAAAAAAAAAGCAGAGTGTGCAAAATTAGTCTCAGAAATAACAGAAAGCCAGAAACCGAGGGTAGCGATGATGTCAGGAACGGGAAGCACGTAAGAGGGTGATCACTGTCATGAAGAGGCCGACGCGACTGAGGCTGGCGCTGAGAAGTGAGTGACAAACGCGGAGGGGAGGAGGAGAGGCCGGCAGCACACAGGCCGAGTCTCGGGGCTGCGTTCTGTCGAAACGCGTGGGGCGCTTAGCAGAGAAAAGCAGCAAAGGCAGAAGGGGTGCTAAGAAATTCAACGTTCCGAGGATTTTAGGAAGCGTCTCTCCTGAACAGGTTTTTTTTTTATGGAAAGTAAATAGAAAAATACCACCTTCCAGAACACAGAGGCCTGGCGGCTGTCAGATGAAGGCGGAAGATGCTAACCAGCCCCAGTCATGTCCACCTAAAACTCCACGACTTGCCCGCCGAGTGGCTCGGCCCTCGAGCATTGACCTATGATCCCCAGCAGGGGGCGAGCAGGAGGCAGCCGGTCGAAGACTCTCCTCATTGATGTTTCTCTCTCTCCCTTCCTCTCTCTGACATCAATAGACATTTAAAATATATATATATAAATACACACTCTCTACACATAAACCTATAGACACACACACCCCTCACCTCCACACCCCTGTGGACACCCACAAACTCACACACATATCCCCACAGACACATCCCCACCCAAGACCTCTCCCTGCTCCCTCTGCACCCTCATGTAGACATACACACCCCCCCACACACACACTTTTTCAACAAAATTCAGTCACTCGGGGCTCATTCACCAGATTGGCCACTGGCCTCCTCTTGGAGATTCTTGATGATACATTTTTGGCTTCTAAGATCAGATACGTCAGCCTCAGGGATCCTGGGCCCTCCTGAGGGGTCAGGTGGGTGTCCTCGCCTGTCACCCTGGGGTGCTTTCCCCTAGGAGCCGTGACGTCGGTGGTCTCTTTGAACTCTGGGTGTTGTCTAGAGCAGAGCTCCTCACACCCGGGTGTCCTCGCTGCACCCACAAATGCACACACCCCAGGGCCTGCGCTGGGGCAGCCACGCCACTCCCACCCAGCCAGCCAGCCTGGTGCACACTCCAGACCCCTGAAGGCTCCGGGCCCTGGGCCGAGGAGAACAGAGGGAGGGGTGGGAGGAGCCACTGGATGTAAGACGGAGGTAGAGGCAGGACTGTCAGAAGCCACCAGCACAGACAGACCACCCGGAGGAACCCCTTGTCCTCGCTCCCACCAACGGATGCTCCCCAGAGGAAGCGGAAGGGAGATGCACAGCAACACCCCGAGGCCATGAAACCTTACTCCCTGAGGTCAGATCCCCTTACACCACTCACTCTGACCCGACCCCTCGCCCGGCCCCAGGGCTCTCTGGGGGTTAAACATGCGGCATTTGAGGCCAGCCGTGCCCACCTCCCCTCGCCACACACGCTCCAACTCACAAGGCTGTGAAAAGCTGGCCAAACTCTCTCCAAGCTTTATCTCGTCCCCAAACCTCACCTAGAACCCATTCTGGCCGGGGCCTGGGGGAAGGAAAAGGCCACTGTGGGACCTCAAGCCTCAAACACGTTATGATCTTCCTCCCCTCAGAATCCTGGGGATTTACGCCCCTCATCACCCCCACTCACACTCTCAGTCCCAGTACTGTGCCCCCAGCGGCTCCACCTGGACCCTAAGTGCCAGCCCTGTCCTGCACCAGGCCAGGCGGGACTGTTGGAGTCTGCCCATCCCTGGCCTTCCCGGCCCTCGGGGTGGGGTCCCTGGGCTCCTTTGTACCGTAGTGGCTGGCTCTGACTCTGGCCTTGGCCAGGCTCTGGGCAAGGTCCTTCCGGGGACGCTTCTTGGGCTGTGTCTTCCTCTGGGGCCTGGAGCCACCGAAGTTCCTCAGGCTGCAGGGCCTGGTACCAGGCTGGGGGCCCGCCTTCGGGGGCCAGCACGGGGCTGGCAGCCTCCTGATCGGCCCCGCTGGCCCCTCTGACCCCCGCCCTCGCCACGGCCCCCGGGAGCTGCAGGAATCGCTGCATCGCGCCCCAGGTCCTGCTCTGGGATGGCACGGAGCTGACCAGGGAGCTGGGGACGCCTGTCCCTGTCACCAGACGGCCCGCCCCCGAAACTCAGAAACCAGACACTGGCAGGGAGACAGGCTCTGGTTACCTCTTCGCCCCGCTGGGAGACAAGGGCTCGGGAGGGGAGGAGGCTGGGCACTAGCCAAGGCTCAATCTCTGAGCAGGAGGTGAGGGGGTCAGGGGAGCTGATCCAGACGGAGGTGAGGGGTGCCCTCCCCACCCCCACTCACGCCGCAGCGGGACCTCTGCCTCCCTCACTGCCCTTCAGGCACCTTCCCCTCTCCTCACTGACCCGAACCTTCTTGCCCCTTTCTTAGCTCACCTTCCGCCCACCTGGCCTAGGCCCCCCAGTGATCCCTCCACCTTCTCCATCACACCCTCGGCCCTCTGGTCCTCATGGCGCCTGCCCTGCCGTGGTGGCTGCCTTTATTCACTGTATTTCAAACCCCCTCAGCCTTGCCTTAGACCCCTGCTCTCCTCTCCTCCTGCCCTCCTGCCTCTGGGCCCGGCTGGTCCTACCTGAAGCCAGGCCAGTCAGTGCCCCTAGTCGGCTCTGCAAGCCCTGCCCCCCCCCACCTGGGCCCTGGCTGAACTCACACGCCCTCCCCGGGTGAACCTTCACTTCCTTCTGTGTCCTAAACACACACACGCAGCCCCGTCCTGGAGTCCGAACCCTAATATCCAGCTACCAGCGGGGCCCGGGTGTCTTAGGTTCACCATCTCGGCACATCCAAGGCTGGGCCCGACACTGTTCTCCACCAACTGGCTTGTGACGCCTTCCTCTCCAACGGCACCGAATCTCGCCTCAGTAACCCGAGTACCAGCCCCATCTCCCAGCCCCTTGCTCTCACCTCTTTCCCAATTAATCATCAGGCCGGGGCTTCGACCTCCCCAAGAGCCCTCAGATCCTCTGCGCCTCCCTGATTCTAGGCCATCACCCAACCTGCCCCCAGCCTCAGCCCCCCCGACACACACACTTGCACACTTGTCTCTGGCTCAGCCCAGCACACCCTCCAATCTCTTCTCCACAATCCAGCCTCGGATCCGTCTAAAGTGCAAATCTGATGTCAGCAGCCAACCCCCCCCCAAAACCTTGGCATCTCCCCACCCTCATTTCCGGTCACTGCAGCGGTCTGAGTGGCGATTCTGGCCCCGCCGTCCCTGCACCTGCAGAGCCTGTGAGCGTGGCCCTCCTCTGCCTCCCCACCTTCCTACAGGCCCTCGGGTCTGCCTGGAACACCCCGCAGGCTCCCCTCTCCGCGGTGGCGGGGACCAGCTCCTCCGGCCCCCTGCTGTCCCCACCACACTGAATCACCCCGGGGCAGGTCCTTCCTCCGTGGGCCCCTCCAGGGCAGCTTGAGGACCGGCTGGGCTCGCGTTCCCAGCTGCGCCCGCAGAGACTAGGACAGGGCTCCGCGCGCTAGGCCCTTACACATGCGTGTTTCAGGGCTTAGGGGTAAATGCGCGAGCCAAGGCCGAGGTGGGGCTCGGGGTGGGGCGCAGAGGGGAGTGAGAGTGGGGGTGACCTACGGGCGCAGTGAGATGGGGGCCGGAACCTGGGGGCCTGAGTGAGGGAAACGGATTTGTGGGAAGAGCCAGGCCTGGGAGGCTGGGAGTCTACACCCAAGTCCTTTGGGAATCCACC